CATGGGCATCCATAAAAAGGTTGTTCAACTCCTTACTTCTGGATAAACGCCCTTTGTCCCCCCTTCTCATGAACATGTATGAGCTTGACTATCGCAATATTACTAGCTAGGTTGGCATTCAGCACAACATTAAGTGTATCGACATGTGTCGTTGCCAAGTGTTGTAAATCTTACTCGTTGGAAATGGCTTGAGTCTTCGACAAAGCAAATCGATCATTATGCGGGTCCCAGAGTGTGTCTCCACGCCTCCCTCGCATGAGACCCCGATGAGAAACAAATCATGCTCAATCGACATGGGAAATGATGAAGTTTGCTCAGGTTTTGAAAGTTATCTTATTCTCGAATATCAGTAACGTCCACCACATCAAACCCTACCAAACCACGCTTTTTGTGAATGAACGTTGCAAGAGAGTTACAGAGCTCCACGTTTTGGTGGTCTAGGAGGCTCGCATCGTCCACATCCCGAGTTAACAGTTACTCTTTGTCCGCAAACTTACTTTTGGTAACATTGAAATCGTCAAATGTTCGGGAATTGCCACCTCCCGAAAAACCGCTATCCCTCGTACTAGATCCCTGCCTCTTGTGGGGTCTTAGCACGTAGAGAGCTGAAGTCCGCTTCACATCCCGAGTAGGCGCTACCCCCTCATACTAGATCTTTGCCTCTTGTGCGGACAGGGAGAGACAACTATCTGTGTCTTAGCTCGTAAAGAGTCGAAGCCCACTTTTCTACTCTCAAGAATCAAAGTTCAAGGATCAAACTCAAACAATCCAATGTTTTGCGACGCTTTTGTAATTCGATGATGCCTACATCCCTCTTCTTTTTCAGCTTAGGACCAGAATCAGAATCCGTATCACACCATTCGGTCGATACTCCCCAACCTTGATCTAGAATATAGAAAAAGCTTTCGGCCCAATCATCCCAAGTAGTTGTCCTACGAGCTGTAAATTTACATAAGCTACATGGGTAAAAGATGAAGAACATGCCATTATCCAACTGACGAAAAGTAAGTAGCGCTTGAAAAAGGCTGATACTTGGCAATAGTCCGACTTGCCCCACTCGATGACAGAAACCCAAAAACATAAAGTAGCACTAGGCGCAAGTTGCGACATGCGAATCCCATCATCCAAACATATCGACCTCAGTTAATACAGTGTCACAATCAAGCACAAAAAAAAAAAAATCACATGCTTTGAGGCCAGAGGTGTTTTTCCGGCGAATCATCGGAGAGCGAGACGCTCACTGATTCTTTCCCATCACCGCCGTCTGAAACCATCGCCGAGCCAGACGGATGATTCGTCGATCCATGCAGCTTGCTGACAAATTCTCCGCTTCGTACCTGAACTCTACTAGGCAAATATGCATGACTCCATTAACAAGGGCCTAGCTGTCGGAACGATCACTCGATTTATAAGAATCATCGCGGAGCAAGATGCCCACTTTTATAATTGTTTTTGATTTTCTAATAAATTTCAACTTTTAGTTCTTGTAATTGAACTTTTAGTAATTTTCAAATTTTAAAGAAAAACAATATGCAAATATATTACATATTGATCAATTAAAAATGGCGGCGGTTATATGCAAACCCATTTTCTTATTAGTTCAAAACCACATAAAAGAATTTATTAGTTCAAACCCGTAAATTAATCTAATTTTATTACATCAAGACCAAAGATAACAAATATACCCTTATCCACAAATAATACTCAAATACAAATAAATCATATTTTTAATTTGTTCAAGACCAAAAATCAAAAATATAAAAATAAAAATAAAAATAAAAATAAAAAAAATATCAGGACTGCCGCCGCCAGATCGTTGCGACGCCGACCAGCGAGACTTCCACCGCACCGACGATGACCAGCGACCCACCCACCGCACCACCACCAACAAGTAAGTCCTTTTTACTAAACTTTTGTTTGTAAATTCGAAAACATTAATCGAACATCGATGTCTTTTTTACTAAATTTCTATTTGTAAATTCGAAAATATTAATCGAACATCGATTCTTGATAAATATGTATGAACGAACATTAATCTATGCTTATTTCTTGTTGGGTTGCAATGATTTGGCCGATTTTGGAAAAAAAAATGAGATTGAAATTGGTTTTTTTTTTTATTTTTTTTCGTTGGTTTCCCAAATCGGTTTATCCAGACCGATTTTGTACACGGAAATCGACGTCATAATGCCGATTTTTGTTAACCAAATCGGCTACACAACGTCGACTTTACAAGTCAAAACCGGCGTTCTAATGTCGATTATTGAGTACAAAATTGGTTTTCGGATACCGATATTTTTTGGATTTTTTTTCTAAATAATACATTATATATTTGGTTAATTGATATTTTTTAAATATTTGAAACGAAAATGTTTATCACCATTCGGTGGCGTCTCCCACTCCTTTAACCCAATCAAGTAGAGCTTTCCGTATCTCAAATATTTATTCATTAGATAATTCATTTGGATATTCCTCCATCAATCCCCTAGGTTGATGCACGAAAGTATGAGAAAACGGACTTAAAAAAACACAGATAATAAATCGGTATTTAAAAACCGATTTTTGTAGTACAATTCGGCATGACAATACCGATAATACATAAACCAATCGGTGTTGTCATGCCGATTTTACTACAAAAATCGGTTTTTAAGTACCGATTTTTATTAAAATAATCGGAATGTGGTTACCGACTTTAGTAACAAAAATCGGTATTTGCAGACCGATTTTTTGTATCGTCGAATTTTTTTCCCCACAAAAAAAAACGACCCAATAGCAAAAATAAACGATTAAAATATATTTCATTGTGTTCTCCACCCTTGTAAACCACCATATCATTGTTTTATGGTTCCATCGTGAATGTTTGATATGTATTTTATAATTTTGGTGTGTAGGATTTTTTGGTGGGTTTGTGAAGAAGAAGGAGAAGAAGAAGGAGATTTTTAAGTCGTGAAATAAGGAAGAGGGATTTCTGGATTTATGTATTTTATTTGGTCTTGCACAAAGAAAATAAATTTTTTTTTTATGTTTTAATGTTTTGTGTTTTTTATTTAATTTTAATTTCATTAAGGGTAAATTAGTATTTTTATGTTGGAGGTCTTGAACTAATAAAAAATGGGCTTGCATACAACGGCCGCCGTTAAAAAATTTGGAAGAAAAAAAGAACTCCAATTGAGAATGTCATGTAAATATGGTAGAAAAAGAGCAAATGAAGGGAGAAACAAATTTAGTCTGTGTAACACTTATAAATCGACTATATTATATAAAAATATTATAATTTACCCCTATCAAATGCAAATCTTACAATTACATCCCTGGTAGTAGTTGGGCAAAATTGGAATTTTTGTAGGAATATTGGAATCTAAAAGAATCATTTATTATTGAGTCGTAAGGGAAGAAATGTTAGACGATGAATACATCAAGGGGGTAAATATGTAATTATGCAAACTAGAGGGATATTTTCAGAATTTAATCTTACTTCAAAGGGTATTCCTAATTACTAGGGTTGTGCGTTGGTTGGTTTGGTTAAAACCCGGTCATAAAACCGACCCAACCCATCCAACCAACTTTGGTCAATATTAAAACCGTTATCGACCCAGTTTACATGGGTTGGGTGATGGTTGCAAACCAATTTATTGGGTCGGTTGATGGTTTGGTTGATGGGTCATTCATCTAAATATTTTTAAATTTTATTTAATATTTTATTAGTCGTTACAAAACTATATTTTTATAAATTAAATATGAATAGTACAACAATATTCAAATAAAAAATTCAAAACATTACGGACCATATATATTTTAATTAAATATAAATAGTTCAACAAATAATAATCGTCCAAATATTTAGGCTACATGTCTTAAAACTAAAATAGTTCAAAATAGATAATTAGGTTAGATTTATTGCTTTTAGGATTTTGGTCAATATTAAACAATTTTATAAATGTGACATAAAATAGAAATTTAAAATAAAAAATGTTAAATATTTTAAATAAATTAATAAATAAAGTTGGTTGGCCGATAATACCCGACTAACCAACTTTATAGCATATTAAAAATCATTATCGACCCAACTATACATGGGTTGGTTAAGATTATCGACCCACTTAAATGAGTCGGTTGATGGTTGATTATCCATCACAAATTATGGGTCAAAAATGGGTTGATTGGTGGTTAAAACCGATCCATGCACAGCCCTACTAATTACATGAGATTTTATTGATATGATTTTGATAAAGTAAAATTGACAGCAACGAAATGGTATACAAAGTCAACAGATCAAATTTTAATCACGAAACAAATACACATTTCTAGGAATAAAAAATAGAAAATAGAAAATAAAAAACATGAAAAAAAAGAGATAGAGAGAAAAAAGAAGGGTGCAAATTTAGATCGAATGGCCTATTTTAATAGGAAAATCGGATACTATATGATGATTAACACATGGATAGTGTAAATATAAATATAATTGATTCTAATAATTGGAAAAAAAGAAAAAGAAAAAGAAAAAAAAAAAACCAGTATAACCTGTGAGATTGGTTAACTTGTAACCCCTCTAACCCTAACTATAATAGTGTGATTTATTAAGAGTTATGACTTAAGAGTGTCACATGTCAAAAGATTAGTGGAAACCGATCTATATTAACTATCGGCTGATCCGCTCAGAATTTAATCTCAATAAAGAAACGGCAAAGAAGAATCTGAAAAACAAAACAACCATCTTAGATCAAGTTCTCCAATGCATTTTTCCGAAATCACCATTATCGGACCCATGTATTTTCACCATTGATTTACACGATCAAACACACACACACACACACACACACACACACACACACACATATATATATATATATATATATATATATATATGTGTGTGTGTGTGATTATGCGTAAAATATGTATGGATCTAAATACTTGTATTGGAGGTTTCCTATAACAAACCCATGCCTTTGTGCATGAACAAAGTTCTCATCTTTCATTATTTATTAAAAAGAAAAAAAAAAAGAAAAAAAAATTCATCTTGGATTCAAATAGAAATCGAAACAAACCATCAAAAGTCGGATAAAAAGAAATAGTTAATCCCCATAAGGATACAAACACAGTGAAAGTCATCATCATAAACTGGTAGAAACTATCATTCAATTGGTCAAAATCATCAATAACCAATTTTATTAGAACAAGTAAAAACCAACTTCTTACTATCTTAGAACATACAAAAGCTACTAAATAGTGAATACCACTTAATTACTACCAAGGGTTTCACTTTTTGTTGGCAATGAATAAACCCCACCTCTGCTCGCCCGACGAGCTCCTAACAAGCTTCGCTTTCCATCCACCAACTATTTCATTATAGTCTTCCTGCAAATCAAATAAAATAAAATAAAATAAAAAAAACGTTGAAAATTTATGTGACAGTATATAAAAGAAAATGATAGCCGAACAAGAACGCACTTCAGAGAAGTCCCTTATAAATTCTTCTTTATCCTTCTCTACTGCATCCAGTTCCTTCTCAAGAACTTTTATGAACTGTAAATAATAAAACCGTAATTTTTAGTTACTCTCAGTAAAAATAAAAAATGCATATTAACAAGAAAAAAAAACCTAAGGCAAACAAGGGCCCACCTGATCGGTTCGATCCTCAGCAATGACCTCATCAAAGCCAGCATCTCCAAGCATCTGCAAATAAGTACAAATCTAAGGCCTTGTTTGGTGTTTGGTTATTCCAATAATTTTTTTACGGAAATTTTGCTTCTATCTCCCTTATGTAGGCTCGTTTGGGAAATGGTTCGTGTATTAAAGTCTTGTTGGTCCAATTATACAATAGGGTCCTAATAAGAATGTGAATGATATCTTATGTAGACTAAATCCCGTTTTGCAACCAAACGAATCCTAAAGTTACCTGGCTGTAAGCCTTCACATCATGCAAATCATAACCCCTTTGCTTAATATACTCTGCAAATTCAGCAGATGGAGAGCCTACGTTTCTACAGTAGTCACTTATGAGTACTTTGCCACCTGGCTTGAGCCACTTGTAGAATGATCTAAACAGTGCAGGTTTGTCCTGTGAAAAATGTGAGATTAAAAACATTTTATAATCACGCATGTCCAAATTCTAGAGTCGGAACTAGCTTTTGAGAAAATTTATGTTAGAAAAAAATTACTTGGATGTGAAGGATTGTGTCGCGGCTATAAATGACATCAAAGGTTCCGTCGGGATATTCTTTCTTGGTACAGTCAGCAACCTCGAATTCGACGGCACAATTGAGACCAATTGCATGTTCAAGAGCGAAAGAAATCATATTGACGGAGAGATCAATTCCAACAACATGAACATCGTACTTATCGGCCATGAAGAAATCACCGCCTCCAATTCCACAACCAACGTCGAGTACTTTCTGCCCAGGCTTGAGATCCAGCTTCTCTACAAATTCTCGTGTAGTATCTGCTCATGAAAAGTAATTCAAGAATTGACCCACGAATTAAAAATAAAAAAAAAAAACACGAAAAAAAACAAGAAAATCGGACCAATTCCTCCAGTGCTGACAAAGCCACGTCCAAAGACACGCTCGTAACGCAATATTCCACTACATTTGTATTGGACATTATCCAAGAACTTTTGGAATCCTTTGTCATCATCTGAGCCTACCTTTTGCCACATCCAGCAAATCTGTGAAAACAGAGTAATGTTTCAATAATTTCTATTTTCAAGAAAGAAACTTTGTACTTGGTGAAATGGAAGGAATGAAATGACAGGAAATTGATTCTAAAGAAACTCAATCAATTGTAGTAGCCATGTCGGTTGAAGCTTTAGCTTAGTTATGACGGAGCATTTAATACTTCCGAAGTTGTCAAATTAAAGTTATAATCGCTGAAGAAGAAAACAGGGCAAGACATGAAGCAAAAAACAGAAACACATTACCTGATTCTGATTCTTTTTGTTTTTGACATAAGCTCCAATGCATTTGCAACCCATAAGAGCAAGTTCGAATGAATTTCCAGAATTTTCATGCGAATGGCATTCTTTAAACACCTGCAAGTTCAAAATTCTCAATCACAACAACAAAATTTAAAGAAAGCCAAAAGTAATCATCAAAATGAAACACTGACTAACTAAGTCCATATTAACATGTAATGTGAAGGTCATAATATTTTCAATATTCATCGAGAAATCAGCAATGTTTCTAGTGCATACGCATGGAGAGTACACATTGCTAGTTCAACTATAAAAACAAATGTAAATAAAAGTATATAAGAACTGACCTTGGTATAGAATCTTGGTTCACGGTAATGAGTTGGGTTATTCTTTCTCTTGTGGTCTCCAGACTGATGAAAACAAGATTCTCTGAAAAATATGTACCCACCGACCTTCAACCATTTGACCATTCTCTGGGCAAGATTCTCAACCTGAAAAAAATAATGTATAAAAATTGGTTATTACAAAAGCCCATAAAAGTTTCTGACGGGGATTATTGTGACTAGGATTTTCACCTCTTTGTCAGAGAGATACATCAACAGCCAGTTTGAAAATATCAAGTCGAAAGATCCGTCAGGAAAGCTCAAACTGGGAGAGGTGACATCAGCACACATAAACTTGACATTTTTATGATGTCCGTTGATGATTTCATTCTGTAAAACATTAACGATAATTCGATAAGTAAAAAAACACCAAAACTTAAAAAAAAAAATGATGTACGACAATGACCTTCTTTATTGAGCCTTCAATGAAGTCCAAAGCGACAAGTTGGCCTGCCTTCTTGGCTAATTCACCGGTGAAACGGCCAATACCAGCTCCCAGTTCTAGAACTGACTTTCCTTCATACGGTGGGAGCAAAGATAGCACCTAAAACCATGCATTAGAAATATAGTTGTCTATATATTATGTCCCAAAATAGAAGGATTTGTTCAATAGCGGCACTGATAAGGTACAACATAATCTTGATTTTTGCACAAACAGAATATACCTAGAAATATAAGGAAAGTGTACAATGAGAATGGCTATTAAGAAGTTGTCGTGCATACAAAAACTAGTAACAGTTAAGAGAAAATAAAAGGTGTCGAAAACAGAACTGTGCTGTAAACATATAAAACATTGATCTAAGCAAGACATAACTTGAAAAACGAAGCAGCAATTTATACTTCGGTCGCATATGGCAAACTTGCAGGTGTTAATGGAAGGAGCTGTACTAATCTTACAACACATTTTTTTAATGGAAGTATCCTTGCACAGTACAATTACTCTGAAATCAATTTTATTTTTACTGTACACGTGATAAAATAATTTCGCTATAGAAAACGATTAAAAATCATTTAAAATCATAAAACTACAAACATGTCCTCTAAAGTTGGTCCCTACTAATATAACTAACTGAGAGCACATAATAATATTTATTCAAACTCTGTTGACAGACCGTAGGGCCCTTCGATTTTATTATAAATTCCCAAAAGTTAATGAAAACAACATTGACAGCTGCCAAAGAAACCTATGTAGTATGCATAGGATTTTAAATTTCGCATGGACTCGTATTTTAGTCGAATCCATTACATGAACTCCGACTGAAAAAATGAGGTACTCGAATTCCAAATGATCCAATATTATGGGTATAGTAGAAGAAAAGATCCACCTAAATTTCACAGAAACCACATGTAACATTAGATCGAGATAGAAACTTACAGACTCGGAGATAATCGAGATACGAAATGATCAGATTGATAACATAACAACAATGCAGTATTCTCTCCAGAGAAAAAAGGTAAGCAAATTCACATATATTGAATTATATACTTATCATATGCGTTTAAAAAAAAAAAAAAAAAAAAAAAAAAAAAAAAAACCTTAAAAATAAATAAATATAGCAGATATATATATATATATATATATATACCTCAGGCCTTTCTTCTTTGTCGAGATCAGAAGCTTTGGAATCAAGCATCATAGATTCCAAAGTGAGGTCGACGGAGTGCTCAACCCAGTAACTCTTTTGCATCTCGCGCTCTTCATCTGTACATCAAAATTCACAATTCAAATCTCACTTAATCAAATATTACCAGAAAATCAACCCAAAAAAAAATTAGAATAAAATAAAATCACGAGTGTTGAATGAACGAACCTTGAACGGCAGCCATGGAAAAAATGACAACGACAAACAGCAGCAAGTAACAATGGGAGTGAGTGGCTATTTAGTGAGAGACGCGATTCTAGAGAGAGAGAGAGAGAAGAAGAAGGAAAACAATGGTGGATTTGGAAGAATGAAGAGTGATTAAGAACCCTCAATGGCAATGCGAGATCTAGAAAACGTCCTTGATCTTCGATTATGGGATCTCCCCTTTTGCCGCATTACCTACACACCTGGAATGGAATACAATTTCGCAATAAGATCATATATATTTATATACGGTTGAAACAGAAATAGAAAGGGGTGAAATAATATGCTATAAAATGGCTGGTGAAGACGAAGAAGAAGAAGAAGAGGATCCTAGTTAGGGGAGACAAACGGGGTTGGTGAGATTTCCGTTTTTGACAAAATAAATATTGACGTGGCATGAATCATCAATCTGATTGCACCTCACGTGTTAATTGTGAAGGGTCAGAAATAAAAAATAAGGGATAATTAGCAAAAACCCCGGGTAAAATTCATTTTCATCCCTGAGGTTTACAAAATCAAATTAGTCCCTCAGGTTCTAATTTGCTTCAATGTCATCCTCTAAATTCAATTTCACTACTAAAATCAAATATATTTTACTTTACCCACATTGCCCTTCAAACCCTGGGGACGAAAATGAAATATATCTAATTTGATAATTTTAAAATTATAATACTTATTTAAACACTTTAATAAATCAGCTTAATTCCACTTTGCACCCTTAAAATATACCATTTCGACACTTTGCACCCTTGACATAAATTAATAGCACTTTTCACCATAGAAACACAATATATCTTGCATAATGCACCCCAAATATATTTATAAAGCTAAATAAAGGCAATTGAATATTTTTAATGGTATTCTTTTAGGATGCCAAATGTGAAATTAATTTTTTTTTATTCATCAATCATTTTGAAACTATAAAGTGCAAAAATAAAAATATATTTCATCAACATATTTAAAAAAAAAAAATTATCACAAAAACTATTTTACTAAAAAAAATCCTTCAGCTATTAGATTGGAGGTTGAAAAAATTAACAATTTAATTTGTTATTTTGAACCCCGAAAAAAAAAACGCAATAAAAAATGAAATTCTCTTTATTATTCAATTCATGGTGCATTGTGAATGATTTATTGTGTTTTGAGGGTGCAAAGCGTTATTATTGTTTTTTAATGGTGCAAATTGCCAAAAGGCTCTAATGTGAAGGTGCAAAGTGCTATTATTATTTTTCAAGAGTGCAAAGTGCCAAAAAGCTCTATTTCAAGAGTGCAAAGTGGAATTAAGCCATAATAAATCATAATATCTGATACATATGCATGAAAAATAGATATCCCAGGAACTTAGCAAAACACTATGTTTTAGAAATTTTGCAACAAAATAAAAAAATAAATATTAAATGCTAATTTATATGAACCAAACAATTATAGCATTTATGTTTAATATTTTAACAAAAATATAAGTATATTACTATTAGTTGGGCTTTATATATATATATATATATATATATATATATATATATATATATATATATATATATATATATATATATATATATATATATATATATATATATATATATATATATATATATATATATATATATATATATATATATACACTAAGTATTTCCAAAATTTTGAGAAAAATAGGTGGGCTTCACACAGATATTAAATAAAGTTTTGATCATGTGTATGTTTTATTAGAAAAATATTAACAATTATTAAAAACTTTGCATTAAGTAATTATGCGAAAATATGAAATTGGTCAAAAAAATTGATGTTAAAAAAATTGCAAACAAAAGAAGAAAAAAAATTGTGTAAAGCCCAAAATTAGGTACATTTCATTTTCATCCCCAAGGTTTTGAAGGGTAGTGTGGGAATTATGTAAAGTATGCTCTTTTTTGGCGGTAAAATTGTGTCCAAAGGATGATATTGAACAAAATTAGAAACATAGGGACTATTTTGCTTTTGACTCTAAACGTCAGGGACGAAAATGAATTTTACCCCAAAAACCCCTCATCTAGGAAAATGAGTTAAGGAAACACCTCCTCCCAAAAATAATTTGTGAAAACCCCCTTACCTAATATCCACCCAAGTGATATTTTTATAATTCGAAAACTACCCTTAATTGTCTAATATACTCTTTCAAAACCCTAATTTTATTTTCTCTTTTCCGTCTCTTCTCTCGTCGTCTCTTCTCTGCTTTTTTTCTCTCTCTTTTATACTTTTCTCTCATTCTCTCTTATCGGAAGATGAAGAACCAACCACCGACATCACCGCCAGAACAACGATGCCAATTCCGTTGAAGTCGTCGTCGTCGTCGTCGTTGTCGTTGCCGTCTTCGTCGCCGTCGTTGCAGATCTTAACAAAAGCCATAAAGATGATGATGATTTTGATAGCGATTCTGAGTTCGAATGCCACGATTGCTACATCGACGGCGAAAAGAGGTAAAATTGTCGATTGGAATCGGATTTTGATGGGTGGTGGTTCTGCTTTGGTTGGTGGCTTTGTTTTGGTGATTTTGACCGTAGTACATGGTTATGTTTTGATTGTTTGTATAAAAAACAGTTAGAATATGGAAGTGGGGTGGTGATGGTGTGGTGTGGCGACGACGTGGTGACGATGAAGAACAGATGTAGGGTTTTTTGGTGGATTGTGGCGAAAGACGGCGCAGAAAAAAAAAAAAAATCGCGCAGGCAGGGCTTTTAATCGACTACGTGTGGTTTAATCGTCTAAGTTCAATAGTCGATTAAGGCTTAATCGACTATGTTCAGTAGTCGATTAAGGTCAACCGACTCCAGTTGTTAATTTTTTTTTATTTTTTTTTTTTGATTTTTTGTTTATTGATTCCAATGTATAAATCAATTACAATGTTTGTATATTTTTTAAATATAATTGATTTTGTATTTTTTTTGTAATTGTGATTTGTTATTTTTAATAGTTAAATTTTTAATCGACTATCCATTAATAAACCTGATAGAGAAAAAAAGTTAAAAAAATCAAAAAAAAAAAAAAAATTAAAAACAAAATTAGAAACAAAAAAAAAAATAAAAATTTAAAGATTTTCCTTAATCGACTATGTAGCATAGTCGATTAAGGCTAATCTACTATGCTTCATAGTCGATTAAGGAAACTGATACAGAAAAGACGGGAAAAAAACCGGAAAAAAAAAATTAAAAAATTGATGAGCGCGTGACCCAGTGATGATGTGGCGAGCGGGGGCAAAACTGGAAAACCTAATGGCTGAAAATGGGTGTGGACTTTTCTCAAATGGACTAAAATATTTTGGGCCTTCCTCAATTAAAAAAAATAGTGAGGGGGTTTTCTTAAAGAGCCCCTAAAAATAAAGGGGTTTGCTAGTATCAGTACGATTTTTACCACTCGCAATGCAAAATAATTCATTTTTTTTTCTTTTCCAAATCTTATCCAAACCCCTCTCAAAAACTCTCAACCTTTAATTCTTGAAATTTTTCAGATTCCGTAATTTTTCGACCAATATCAGTTAGAGCACAAGTATTATCGACATGGATGACAACGGCTTCGATTTTGAGGTGAAAACACACGGTTTTTGTTCATTTCCAACGTTTTTAGACATTTCGTTTTTAGACATTTCGTGTTAATACTATACGAAATGTGTCTTAAAATCGTTTGTTGTTTATTTCGTAGAAAAACATACGAAAGAAAAGCTTACATTTCGTAGTAAAACCTACGAAATGGAAGCTCTTATTTCGTATGTTTTTACACGAAATTGTAGCTTACATTTCGTATGTGTTTCTACGAAATCCCATAAATATTGTCTTTTAATTTCAAATATTTATGCAGGAACTAAGAGAACAATCTCACGATCATAGTCACTTCTTTGAACGTGGTATTGTGTGTGATAGTAGAGAAGCGTTAATTATGTGGGCAAAAGACACAACAATTAGTCATAATCATCGACTGATTAATCATTGTAAATCAGAAAAATATCATATTTTAACGTGTGCAACATATCAATCTGGACGACACGTACTATTGAAGAAACGTTCTTGTACGTTCAGGTGAATTGACAAAAAATCAACGGAGGATGGATTATGGCGATTGAGTGTGAGTAATGGTAATCATAACCATCTGTCGTGTATTTGAAAGTTTAACTTATGTTTAAATTTGTATTTGTTTTAATATTGCATTTTAATGTTTAATTTATGTTTTGAAATATTTAAATTTGTAGCGTTGTGTTTTGCATTTTTTATGTTTAACCTATGTTTTTGGAATGATTAAATTTGTAAGGTTGTTTTGGAATGTTTAAATGTGTACTTTAATTGCTTCAATTGTACGTAGTTTCTAAATTCAAATCATAAAACTAGTGAATTAAAATACAAAACAACAAACTAGTAAATTAAATAGTTCGTAATAATAATAAACAAAATTAGTAAAATAATTAGTTCCTAATAATAATAAAAACAAATTATTAAATTAAATAGTCCCTAACAATAATAAAAATGCATAGTCCTAATAAATAAAAATAAACTTTAAAATTAAATAGTTCATAAAAATCTATAACTGGCAAAAAAAATCGATATACTACCGCCTCGCTCTCCTCGGCGGCTGCACCTCATGATCGTCGTCGTCGTCGTCGTCGTTGTCCTGGTCGATGCCAATATATCGGGCCGCGGGCTGCATAGTATCTCCAAGGTCGGCACGTAGATCGGCAAACTGCTGCATCTAGTCCTGTCCAGTGCTGCTGGTGATCGGGTACAATGCACGTACTATCTGGTAATAAGCCGGCTGATCTGGTGGCCTCACATTCTTTCGATGCAGTGGAGCCGGGCCTACATCGGGGTTGTTGATCTTCAGATGAGTCCGATCGGTGTACCACTCCATGTAGTGCTCGTCGACTTTCCCCCGTTGTCGTGCCGTCTTGTATACGTTGGCACAAATGGAATGAGCCTGGACCATGTCCCACATACCACCTGGAAATGGGTAGTTGACTTTGTACGATGTACCTCCTTTGGGACCGCGTGAACATGGCTCCATCGATGAAATCAAGCCGCGCGGAATTATCCTGAAATCACCCGAACTGTCGGACGCAACGATCAGGCATATACGTCTCTACGACCCACATGTACTGGATCGTGCCATGATACAACGTACGAGGGATACTCTCGTATATATCCCGACCATACGGTAGCCACTCGACCTAAACAGAAAACAATATAAATACGTAAATAAAAAAATTCATAGTTAAACAAACTACAAACATAAACCGAAAAATTCATATTTAAACAAACTACAATTACATAAAATCGAAAAATTTCATACTTAAAAAAAATATAAACACATAAATTGAAAAATTCATATTTAAAAAAATATATAAATACATAAATATAAAAATCTTACATCATCCGCTGTCATATTGTCGAGTAAACCTCGAATATGCTCGAGCGTGCCCGCTTTTGGCGGCACGTTCCACCTCTTGCATCGAGGCTGAAACTCGTGGTACCGCTCGCTCTCCTCTGGCGGCTGGAATCTCAGGAAATACTCGTATATCCAGCACTGCAATATTTTATTTAAAGATATTTAGGAAAATAAAATAGAGAATATATAAATTTAAAAACATTATGAACAAAATAAGTACAAAAATATATTAAAATTTACCTGAAGAAGGGTGGTGCAACCCGCCAAACTCCTCGACTCTGCTCGGCTGCATATACCCAACTCCCTGTATATATTGGCCAAACATGCTGAACCCCACGAATACGTGCCGACCTGATCAAGTACTGAATCCTCGAGCACGTGCGTATACCACGGCTTCACCCGATCACATGTCTTGTCGGGGAATAAAATCGATCTGAGGAGAAACACCAGATATATCTGAACTCGGCGTCTCATGGGCGTGTCGGACATCAACAAATGTCTCTGTATCATCCTCCATGTGGGCCCCCCATGCTTCCATGACTCGTCAATCTCCTCAACATCGAGGTTTAATACCTCGGACAGTAAATACACGCAGTTTGTCCGCTCGATGACCTCGTCGTACCTAGGCGCCACCACCCGTCCCTCCACATTGGCACCTAGAATCATTTGGACATCGTGGAGAGGGATAGTCATCTCTCCCCACGGCATATGGATGTTGTTCGTCTCCGGCTGCCACCGCTCCACGAATGCAAACAACAGCGGAGCATCTAGGCGCGGTAAATAACATCGGGCTAGGGGATACAAACCGGTCATCCGTAGAAAATGCTTGTCTGCGGATACATCTATGTCTTCTAGGGCAGCTGCTATCTTCTCGTAGTTGAAATGGTTCAGGGAGTTGATACGGGACTCCACTCGTCCAACCGGACGTTCCTGCGATCATTTATTTAGAAAACATATTAATTAATCAACTATAAAAATATTTTAATATAAGATACAAAAGTTATAATATTAAAATTAAAACAAGTAATTAACTTACTTCTCCCCCTCCAAATATATGCCGCTACGTGCGACTTGAAACTCGGAATCAAAGACGGATCCCGCTGTCCACCGGGAAATGGACCATCTAGCACATCCGGATTGACTCGAGTATGAGCTCGACCACCACGACCTCCACGACCCCGTCCTCGGCCTCCACGACCTCCACGAGCTACAACCTCAGTCTCGTGAACGGGGTCCATAGCATCCTCCTCCTCCTCCATAACACAAGAAGACCCAACATCGGGATGTGCAACCGATGATCTGGCTTCACCAGCTCTCTCAGCCTCTCACCTACGTCGTGTAGACATAGTCATGCGCTCGCGCTCGCGCTCTTGATGCTCAGCCTCTTCACGAACTGCACGCATAATTGCCTTTGATTTGCCTTTGCCTGCCATCTATTAAATAAGACACTATTAACGTCAGTCTAAATAATAATAATAAATAAAACAAATCTTAAAAAAAAAAAACTGAAATTTTGCAGTAATTTCGTGGAAAAATACACGAAATTAATGCTTACATTTCGTGTTTGTGTTCACGAAATACAAGCACTAATTTCGTGTGTTTTTTTCACGAAATAACTGCAAAACGACCGAAACGCATATTTTTCGTGAAAAATCTTACGAAACAAAAGCTTTAATTTCGTGAGAAATCTCACGAAATGTAAGCTTTTGTTTCGTAAGATTTTGCACGAAACGTAAGAGAAACAAACAATCCTAATAATTTCGTGGAAAAAATCACGAAATTAGCCCTTTAATTTCGTGATTTTTTGCACGAAACGCAATTTTTTTCCGAAAAGTTTCGAATTTCTTCGAAATACTGAAAGCGTATAGATTTTCGACGAAATTTGTTAATATACTACTATAAACGCAGGAATTCGAAGGGCCTTGGATAGGGTTTGAGAGGATTTTGAATTTTTTGAAGAAAAGTTACAAATGAAATAAAGTCGCACCGCAAGCCGGTAAAAGTTGTTCTATGAATAGCATTTCAGAAAAAAAATCTATTTCCGTCGATTTCCATCCATTTATTGTTTATTCTTGAATAAAATATTTTGTCACGAATTTCGAAAGTTCTGATTTCTGTTTTTTCTTTTTTTTGGAATCAATATAGGGAATATAGATTAAATTCTGATTATCGATTCGATTATAATTTCGATTAATATTATTACTTTTTTAAATCAAAATTTGCACTTATAATATTAGTTTGGGCAGGGAAGAATCGAATCGACTATGGGCGATAACTATCCGGCAAGGAGATTATTCGCCTTTTTTAAATGGCAACCAATATTTGCAATCTCATAATTTCTAAGGATAAGACCTTACTTAGGCTGTGTTTGATTGAATTAAGCATTGAATGTTGAATATACATCTGAATAGCTAAGAGTTGTGTCTGAATACTGAATATTAAACTATTAAGGTCGTTTGTTAGTTGATGATGTGTAATGTCTAAATAATGTGATTTTATTCTTATAACCTTGATGAAGTGTTAAAATATTTTGTTAATTAAATTATGTGCCATATATATGTATATTTTTTTCTTTTTCATGATTAACTTAATTACTAAACTATAAAAATTTAGTGGACATCAAACACATGTATTAAATTTCAAGTATTTAACATAATTATAATATAATTTGAAATATAAATGCTGAACAAATAAAAAAGATAAAGTAACGTTCTAAAATAAAATAGCTACAAGTAACAAAATAGTTTGAAGATTTTTTTTTTTTTTGAGATGAAATAGTTTGAAGATTTGAAATAATTTGAAGATTTTTGGTTGAAGAAGAAAATTTACCGTCCAAGTGGAATAAACGAGGGTGATTGGTTGGAATATATGAGTGTCTTTTTTTTAAGGATATATATGTCCAAATATCATTCAGATCATGGGCTTATTCGATCAGCATCTATTTTTGAATTGAATGGTTAAGAGCCATTTGGACTCGTTCAGAAATCATCACCAACGCCCTGAATCATTAAGCTGCTTACCGTATTAGCAATTTGCCCATTAAGCAACTCAATAAGTGCAATCAAACAATGCCTTAATATAAGACCAAATATAAAAATATATTAAGAGTAAGACTGAAAATAATAAATATAACCCCATTATTAATTTTGATATTATTAATTCAAGTTAAGCCTAAATGCTTTTGCAAGACCAAAAAAAAAAAACCGAGGGAAAACTCATTCCACGAACAAAACTCAACATTTTCTTCTTCACACTCATTCTGCATATTTTGTCAAAAAAAAAATAAACTCTTTCATATTCTCCAAAAACCCTCATCACACAAAACCCTAAAATCTTACTAAAACTTGCAAAGGAGGACATTATGGACACACAAGACATTAATATGGATGATTCTAAGGTCGAAGAACACAATGGGGCAAGAAATATTGTACTTGTTTTTTTAGCTTCGTGATCGTTTTTCTCGTTTTCCGAAAATAATTTCTCGTACACAAAAAATCGGCATTTACAGGTATATTAGCAAAAAAATGACGTAGACGAGTCGTTTTTTTAAGACAAAATCGACATTACATTGTGTCGATTGTGTCTGGAAAAATCGACGCTAGCATGTCGTTTATTTTGCTAACAATCGACATAGTGATGTCGAATTTAGGCTGTTACAATTTTGTAAACAAATTTCCGATTTTTCTTGCAGACTTTTGTGCCTAACGCATGTAGTGGAGCTAATGTATGTAGGGAATTAGCTTTGTATTATGCACATGAATTTACCACCTATGAGGAGTTTGCAACAAGGTACAATTTAGTTAAATGTGTGTGCGAAGTTGGTAGCCGACTAGGAATGATAATGGTAGTGAAGTCTTCAAACCCGGGGAAAATAGACATAGAAGGCCCTACATGGTACTTATATGCGAGCGTGCTGGAGTGTATCGTGGCAATAAGGTACCCTGGTTAAGACGACGAAGGAAAGGGAAAAAGGCAAACAAGGTAAAAAAAAAAAATGTGAGTGTCCTTTTGAGTTGCAGGGCATAAAAATAGGCATGGATCGGACGATGAGGATGTTGGGTGGGTGTTAACAGTCGCATGTGGTAGTCACAACCACTCAGATTTTGAAAACTTTCAAGGCACTCATACGCTAGAAGATTAAGAAGTGAAGAGATGGCACATGTAGAAGACTTGTCGAACGCATTGGTGAAACCAAAGTCAATCTTATCATCACTAAAGTTGAAGAATCCGACAAATGTGTCTTTAATTAAGACGGTTTACAATGCTTGCCAGAAAATTCAGTTCAAAGAGAATGCTGGTAGAACTCAAATGCAATTGGTGATGTTGAAGTTGTCCGAAAATAACTACTTTGAATATCACAGATATTTGGAGGAGACCGGCGAGGTAATGGACTTGTTGTGGACCCACCCTACATGCATTAAATTGGCATGTAGTTATCCATATGTATTGGTTATGGATTGCACATACAAAACCAACATATACGGACTCCCATTCCTACAGATTGTGGGTATTACTTCTATGAATAAAACGTTCTCCGTTACCTTTGCATACCTCCGGGCTGAAAAAATAGACAATTACGTATGGGCCTTGAAGAGCTTGGCGAAGGTCATGGAAAGTTGTCCTAGGCCTAATTGTATAGTCGTAAATCGAGAGTTGGCTTTGATGAAGGCTAAGATATCGTATATCCCTCCAGTCAACAACTTTTGTGTCGGTGGCACGTGAGCAGGAATATTCTTAGTAATTGTAAAAAGATGTTCAAAACAATCAATGATAAGTGGAAAAATTTTGAGTCGGCCTGGGCAAGTCTTGTTGGTCAAGCGACAGAAGAGTTATTTCATAAAGAATGTGATGATATGAAAATTTTGTTGACTACCCGGATGCTCTATTGTATGTGGTTAATTCATGGTTGGTTCCGTATAAAGAGATGGTTGTCTCGGCTTGGACAAACAAACATAAGCATCTTGGAACGGACACTTCTAACAGGATAGAAGGTGCACATGCACATATGAAGAAAGAGTTGGTAAATAGTATGGGCATATATATTTGTTAAGATTTGGACTCATATTGACAACCTACTGATGCATCAACATACATATATCAAAGCTTCGTTTGAGAAGAGCAATACAATTAAAAAATAACGATATACAACGAGCTTCGAGGATGTGTGTCATTGAACGCTCTAGAGCAACTCAAACTTGAGGTGAATAAATCACGCGAGTTGCTTATGAACTAGTTTATGTCTTGTATTTGTGATATCTGAACCACTCATAGATTACCTTGTGCGCACGAGCTTCATGGTAACGCCGTAAATATGAAGCACTTGAGCATGGAGCCAATGATTCGTACAAAGGATGATATTCTCCCGACTGATACAGAAGAAATGGACGCATGGCAGGCTGTTTTCGATCCGTCCGACGCAAAGAAAGGGGTTCAATTGCTTATGAAATTGCGGGAGATTACTCACCCCGAGAGTAACTCTCTGTATGAGCCAATGAAAAAAGTTGTTACCAAAGGTCGTCCCGGAAAAAGATTGCGTATGATAAATCAACCCGATGCAACCTATCCAAATTTGAGTACGTGCAAAATTCAAGTAAAGATAGTTGTTCCCCAAAGGTAAATTTTTTGAAGTTTTTATCTCATGGTTCATTTTTTTGGTTTCTAATGTAATAATACGTGACATTGGTTAAACAATGTAGATTATGACTCCTAAAAGTTGCACTCCTAGTTCTGGTACCCAAAAGCAACTTGAACAGCTTATGCTGCAGTCGGTCACTGTTACAATGGTAACCGGCATCTTCAATCGAAGTATCGGTATATCCACGATGTTGGAAAAACTACCAGTAGTGTTGAAAACTGTAAAAAAATAAGGTGTGAAAATATATCGGTAAAAAATTGACACCATATTGTCGATAAAGCAACAATTTTCAACACTTATGTGTCAAAATGTGTCACAATTATCGACATCAATGTGTCGATATTTCAGTGTAAATTTTTTTCCCCTTCTATATTACTCATTTAACCTTTTTATGGCAGGTTCGAAAGAAAACATATATATATATATATATATATATATATATATATATATATATATATATATATATATAACAAATACATCCGAAGTTCCGAAGATTCGTGGTAGACATAAAAAATGTTGCGTCGGATAGCCATTATGAATTTCGAGCGGTTGCATCAATGATGGGCTTCGCGAGGAAGATAATTGGAGTCTAGTACGAAGAGATTAGGTCGACGAGCTCATCAT